CCAAGCGCCAGCACCTTTGTTTTTAATTAATGCCATGTAATCAATATCTCCAAAATTCCCTGCATTGCCTGTTCAAGCTTAACAGCCATTCACGCACCTCACTTTTTGTTTGTTTGTTTTGGCAACTCAAACTTTTTTGCAAATTAGATTATATATATACACCCTTGATAAGTTGTCATGTGACAACTAAAATTTCACTTTAAATTTCATGAACTTGGTTAAGTAATAAATCATTATCCGTCAATTCAGATGATCGAAGGTGAATATCAGATCAGAGATACATGCATCCAGAAGGTGAATAGGCTTAACTGCATTTGTTGGTAATTATAGATGAGCTTCAAAGCCTGCTTTTTTATATATTAGAGATAAAAGATATGTTTGATATACAAGATTATGATAGGATAAGATAACATAATATTATGAATAAGATTAAATCAAATAATATCATCTTATCTTGTATTTGATATATACAAAAATTAAGATAAGATAATTTATTTATTGGTTAAAATTATTCTTTTTCAAAGTTTATATAATTTAAATTATTAATATAATTTTGAAGAGTATAATAGGATATGTAAATTCAATTTTATGGATTAAAAATTATTCTCTACACTTGGGAAGGATTAAATCATCTTATACCAAGAAGATGATTAATGCTCCTTATAATACTATCCATTTCTTTGGATACAAACTAAACTAACATAATAAAATATGATTATCATCCTATGCAACAAATATGATCAAAGAAATTCAAATAATCTAACTCATTGAACAAAGAAAAATATGCACCAATCATGGAGTTAAATATTCAATTGTCAATTTTTTTTAGGAGCTGAACTTAGATATTACTTTAACTAAATCAAAAGAAAAAGCTCTAGGATAACATTTTAGATAAAAATATTCGATTCTCAACAATAATATATAGGGCCTTTCAAGAATCACAAATGAAGTGGGTTGAAAAGGGATCAAAACACATGATTTTTTCACAAAATGGCAACAACTATACAAAGCATAAATTGTTTGAAAATGCTGTTTGATGATGTTGGTAACAAGCTGGAAAATTTCACTCTAATATCCAATGAAGCTATTTCTCTTTTTCAGAAGTTGATAAGCACAACTGATCTTAACGTCTTAGGCTGCTGTAAGGAATTCTTACCTGATCAGTGTTGATGCACCGGAGGATCTTTCTCTACCTGTCACTACAAATGAGATTAAGTCTTCGATGTTTGCTTAGAGTGGTGACAAGGCTCCTGGACCAAATGGCTTCACTGCATATTTTTTCAAATCTGTACGGTCAATTATGGGGGATGATGTGACTGCATCAATGCTCTAATTTTTCCAAACTGGCGGTAAGCTTTCAGCTTTTAACTCTTTCATTGTTGCGTTAGTTCTTAAGGTGCGATTGGTTTGGAAAAATTTGATTCTCACGTTTGATTTAAAGTAATCTGATTACAAAAAAAAGTGATAAATTACCAACATTATCCAAAATTTTGGAATCAAAAACTTACATTTTCTTATGATATTTTAAGAATTCAGGAAAAAAGTTACTTTATTTTTAAATTTGATTTGAATAAAAGATTATGAAATAATTGTTACCGTTTTTAAAAGTATATCTAAAAGTTGTTGGAACTCAATTATAGGTTTTTGTACAAAATTTTTTTTTATATTGCAATTAAGGCATTTAGCATGAAAAAATATCTTAAATAATTATTTTTTATTTTTATAAATGGATTATTTAAAAAACGCCTTAAATAATCTTTTTATATTTTAAGATTTAGAGTTTCAAGTTAATATTTTTATAAAAAGATTATTTAAGACGTTTCTGTACAGAAAATATCTTAAATAATTTTTTTATATTTTTATAAATAGATTATTTAGGGCGTTTGTGAATAGAAAAGGTATTAAATAATCTTTTATATTTTATGGTTTAGGGTTTATGGTTAATATTTTTATAAAAAGATTATTTAAGGTGTTTCTATACAGAAAATGACTTAAATAATTATTTTATATTTTTACAAACAGATTATTTAAGACATTTCTGTGCAGAAATGCCTCCTTAAATAATCTTCTTATTTTTTAAAAGAGACTATTTAAGACGTTTCTAGAAAAAAAGTCTTAAATAATCCATTTTATTTTTTTAAAGAGAATTATTTAAGGTATTTTTTATTAAAAAAATACCTTAAATAATGCTCTTTAACAAATATATCAATATTATTTAAGGTGTTTTTAGACAAAAATGTCTTAAATAATACCACAAAATTTTTTTAAATGCATTATTTAAGGCGTTTTTAATCCAAAAATATCTTAAATAATCTTTTTTTTAATAAGGATTATTTAAGGTATTTTTGGTTTAGAATTTCCTTAAATAATACTCTTTAAAAAATGAAAGGGATTATTTAAGATGTTTTTCAACCAAAAATACATTTAATAATTTTTTCATTTTTTAAAAAATATTGGGGACTATTTAAGGTGTTTTCCAACCAAAAACACCTTAAATAATATCCAATATTTTTTTTATTGATGATATTTTATAAATAAAAATAGCAATCATAAAAATATTTGTTTTCTTTTGCTAGTAGAAGCATTATATATCGTTTGGATATTTATTATTAATAAAAAATAATGAAAAGTTACCATCATATATGTCAAAAAAATTATGATAATTATTCAAAAATTAATATACATAGATTTTTTTTCAATCAAACGAGTGAATCTGAATACTAAATGTTCTAAAAAAAAAAAAAAAATCTTGGGTATCACTTTTTGGAATCACACTTATTTTTGGAATCTACGATTCCATAAATCAAACGCCTCCTGAAAATCAAAGTCCTAGTAGCATTTGGGATTACATTTATAGACCAATCTCTTATTATTCTGTAATCTGCCAATGTATCACTAAAATTTTGGCTAATTAATAGACCAAATAAACGTTGCTCTCCATTAATCAGTAGCAATCAAAGTGCTTCTAAAGAGGAAGGAGCATAACTGATAATGTGTTAATGGCTCTGGAGTTGGTTAGGGGCCATGGCAGAATCACTTTATCACTTAGGTGTGCAGTTAAAATTGATTTGTAGAAGGCCTTTTACTCCCTGGGGATTCATTCTTACAGTAAGGTGTTTTAAATGTTTTGGACATTTAAAGAGGAGCCCTGTAATTGCCCTCTTGAGAAGATGCAACGTAATAGAATGTACCATGTCAAGAGAAGGCCAGAAAGACGAAAAAGAAAAAAAAAGATCTCTGTAGTACTGAGATTACTAATAATGTGGTTATCAATGTCCAAAAAAGAAAGGGAATGTGAGTTTGAATAGGATAATGGTATAATATAGTATATAACCAAACCAACCTTCATAGTGGGAACATTGAATTTTTATTATTTTGTTGCTTCAAGGATTAAAGCCATAAAAATTTTGAAAATTTAAGAAAGTCACCAATTTCTTTCTGGAATCTGTTAATAGTTTTTTTTTTTTCTTCTTATATTTAAATTGCAAGATCACTGTCAAAACTGCTTCGTGGTTATATCATTTTATTGTTCTATTAAAGGATTTCAGGGAACACCATGCATTTGTGGCACTTTTAATATAATAGTCTTTTAATTCCTTTAGCTTGCTGCGTGGTTAGACACTTGTGCAATTTTCTAATCTCTGTGACTTCCACTCTGTTCCTCAGTACTCAGAGGGGTTTATGCACACCCGGATGCGGCAGCATGTGGAATCACTAATTCAGGTAGCATCGTGTGTTACTTGATTACGTTTCTGTCAACAGCATGTTTAGTTTAACGGTGGTTCCATAAGATCAATTTTGCAGCAAGCTTTCTTGCTGATTTCTTTTGATTATTTGGCCAGTAACAGCTTCTACAGATGGTAAGAATCTGTATGTTTTGTCATGCAGGCTCTCAATCGTGCCAAACCAGATCGGGAGAAGAACAAGAAAACAGCACATACAAGATCTTTCAAACGTCTGGTATGTTATGCTAATGCTAAACTTGATACTCGGCAAGATGGATTTTGCTGATGCTAAATAATAAACATGCTTGGTTATAGAGCCTTAAGGACAGTCGCACCTATTCAAGTCCATAAATGTGCTGTTGAGATGCTCATCATACCTCCAGGAATACTTTTCCCAGGGTTTTGCTTGCATAAGCATGAGGATTGATTTGCTGCGGGAGCTTTTATCCAAGCAAAACGAACTTATTTTTTCGGGTAATAGTACAATTTGTTTGTAGTCATCTTGTCGGAACTGAGAAATGCATTTAATTAGATCATTTAAGATGGCTATGCTTAGATTTTTTTTTTTTTCAAAACACGCCAAAGGCACTAGATAGAAGAGTGCGGATTATCAAATGAGATCTTAAGTTGTTGAGTGCATCTGCTGTAAATTGAAAACATCCGGAGGGTGCTGGACCAACAGTATTTATTGGGATCGAGAAAACAGAGCCAGTTTTGATGTATGTGACTTGTCGCAACTCTCAAGATGGTGAGTTTCGTTTTAGATTACAATTTCCGTAATTAAAGATCATGTTTTTTAAGGCACACCATCCATGTAGCTGTAGAAAACCCGTAGTTATGCACTCTCCGGTTTAGGGAGTTGTCGCTCGCTCCAATATATGCTAATCAACGATTGACATTGCTATTAAGGCTACATTACCGACTAAAAGATGTTCAATATATCCATAAAAAAAAAAAAAAAAAAAAGTTCAGTAGCCCTTTGGTATGGCCACTTTGACAACTAGGAAGAGTTAAATGAGTAAATACTCCCCAAGATTGAAGTTTCACTACAAGGAACTTTCCCGAGTAATAGAGGACGAGATCCAGTGAATAAGAGTACCAAACAAAAGTTGAGCCGCATAAGCTGTTGGCTGTCATTTTCAATTTTTTTCCTTTTTTTTTGGGGGGGGAGGGGGGGGGGGTGGAATATCAGGTTACTAAGAACTTAAGCCAGATGTTCTTTTTCTTTTGGTTGGAATACGGCAATTGATTTCATATAACTATATGCATCTCGGCCAAAACAAAAGTTGTTACTAGTGAAGCAAAAACTAGCACTAACCTGCAAATGGTACCAAACTTTAAACTCTTGACAGTTTTTTTGTTGCAAATTTTTTAACCATAGCAATCTTCCAATCATGCAAGCAGAACCTAAAATGCATTTTCACATTGACTCATAGTTGTAATGGAATTTCACATTAATCCATGGCATAATTAGGAGCCACAGCTAAAATCCTGCTATCTCTAGCTGATCGTGCTGCACCTTCACCCTCTTCTTGCCTACCATCATCAATCACAATCAAGTGACCTTCCCTCCGAATCAATCTCTGCATCACAAAAGATTATTAAGAAATAGATGGATTCACCATATTTTGTTGAAATACAGTAATCAAAGGTAATTAAAAAATACTAGTAGTTTTACCTCAATAAGTGATCTAATTCGTTTAATTTCTATTTCCACTTCTGTAGTGGAGCTGTAGTTGTTTTTCTCATTCTGCTGATTCACATACCACTGGATTAAATCACCCTGACTCATTCCAGCCAGCCCAGTCTCTGCAAAACATCAAATTGACTCAAATTCAAAATAATGGATCTCATAACCTATCCATTTTGCATGGACGGAAGGATGGGTTTTTTAGCAAACGTGATAACTCAGAATCAGCACTAGAACATTAGAGCATCTTGATCTTGCATTTTCAAAGAAGCAAATTTCAGGCTAAGGTGATAAGAAATTTTTAAACACAAGTATTCATTCTTATGTTTAAGCAAGAATCTCAAGCTGCTGATTGTGAAAACATGAAAGGTTTTACCTTCTTGCTTTACAGCTTCTTCATGCTGTCTAAGTCGCATTACAAGGGCTTGAGTAACCCGCCGAAAATATTCTTCCTTTACCCTATATTCTTGCTTTTGTTGATTGGCAGAACCTACTCCTTTTTCAGAAAGATGATAGTTCATTTCCGTCCTGAAACCAAGTGTTTATGGAAAGAAAGAGATACAAGTAAGATAGCTTATATAGTCCTACCTGTACTCCCCGAAGCTGGATCAGCTGGTTCAGCATCAGGTTGGCCAGAATTATCATTTCTATCATCAGCACCTTCACTATTTCCTTCTTGAAATTCTGACAAATCAATCTCAGTGGATTCCACACTGCATGGTTAAGAGAGACATTATCAGAAAAACTGAAACAGAGAAAGAATGGTTGAGAGAAGAGCATTTAAGATTCTACAATCGACACATTATTAGCCTTGCCTTATTATAGATGTTTTCAGCAATCTCACCGCTACACGAACATGTCGAGGTTGCACCTGCAAAAGAACTATTTTTCTAGCTCCAAGGTGCATGATAACGAAAGAAAAGTTAGATAGGGTTTTCTAGATAAAGCACCTGAGTTTCCAAATAACTCCGAGCAATGGCCTCAGACAACCTGATTAATGCTTCCAGCTGCCTAACTGTCATCCGGTACGCAACTCTGCTGCCAGGAGCCGTATCACCTCGTCTGAGTGAAACATAAGACTCAACCAAGAGTTTTCTTGCTTCTAAGGTTAGCTGCATTTAAACTAGCACCATTTAGCTACGCAAATGCAATGAAAAATAACCATATCCTACGCAGTGAAAGGTTATGCAGAAACCTTCGGTTTTAAAGTTTTCGCATATGTAACGTATCGCTTCAGTTGTGCAGTAGTGAATGCAGGATGAAGTGCATCTTCACGCTTCTGGTGAACTCTCACAATATGGTGGGCAATATGGTAATCAGTTTGATCATCTGGGTCATCGATCATGACATATACCAGATCAAACCTAGAAAGGATAGCTGGAGGGAGAGCGACATTGTACTGTAAAGGAAGAAATACATCAAAGTTGTCAGTTTACAAGAGAATATGTCAAACTTAAAATCAGCAGCAAATACTGAAAAACTGGGGGAAAAGATTGCAAATGCATATTCAAATCAGATTTAATTGCTTTCTATGATTACAGGAATTCTTTAACCTTGAGTGGCTTAGACTTATCGTAGCGCCCTCCGGTAGGATTTGCTGCAGCTAGAATTGATGTCCGGGCATTTAGTGTAGCTTGTATCCCAGCTTTAGTAATGCTTATGGTCTGTTGTTCCATGGCCTCATGAATTGCAACCTTCACATAGAATTGCAAATCATACACCAGATAATTCTGAATATAAAAACTGTTCTCCATTAAAACAATATGAGCATTACCTGATCTCTGACATCCATCTTGTCAAATTCATCAATGCAACATATGCCATTGTCAGCCAGCATCAGTGCACCTGCCTGGAAATAGGTCAGATGTAATTTTTCAGAGATACCTAAAGCAGGGGTTTGATAAATGAGTTGATAACTGGGATACAAAGAAGAAAAGGTGAGTATAAATATATTTTCCAAAAGTTCACGTTTTGCAAATCAGATGTCAAAATTAGTTTTTCCTTAATAAACATTATCCTCAAGCTGTACAACAATGAAAAGTGAAAGGAAGCATGCAGAAACTTGAAATCTTTTGTATGCTGTGTTTGGGAACATGTAATTAGGAGAGTGAATTTGGAATTTGGTTTTCATATAAAATGTGAACATGAATGCAAACATAATGTAAAAATTCATAACGATTCGATGTACTCATGTTTGAGCAAGTATAAGAAGATGAATCTGAGATTCATCATTCCATGGATATTTCAAATTCAGTACTAAGTAAAGATCTTATAAAATTCATGAATTTGATTTTAATCCTATATCTAACAAAATTCATGAATTTGATTTTAATCCTAGAAGCTGTATTTTTATGAGTTCTATAGTAGAATTTAAACTATATTTCAAATTGAATCCCTTGTTCCATATTTCAACTTTCAAAATGCAACCTTGTAGTATCTCCTACAGGATTGATCAGAACCAGAAAAAAAAAATCTGCAGACACATCTATTCAAACATCATATCCAAGTCATTCCCAAATTAGCTTAGTTGTCTTTATTCCCAGACATTATAGCAAGGCACATTACTCATTATCACATTCAATATTTCACCATTATATATCTACTTCTGTTCTCTGGCAGTCTTATTACGCACTCAAATTTACTAAAGTAGCTATTTTTTAATGATGCATAACTCTCACTAGATAATGGCGCCTACAAATGCACTAAGCATTTAATCCAAGCCATTTTTTAAGATTTTCAGAACTACCAAAAATTTAAACAAAATAATTTACTGTATAAAAAGTTTGGGGATATATCAATATGACATCTTGTTCTTTATTTATCTAGACAGAAAAGGACCACGTCTATGCACAGACACATTACAATCGAGCACAGCACAATATAGTTTTTATAATTACTAGAGCCAAATACGAGTCATAGCACCACGCAGAAGATAAATATAAGATGAATGCTACCTCAATACAGAATTCACCAGTTTCTGGTTCTTTGGCCACAGTTGCAGTCAATCCAGCAGCAGAAGAGGATTTACCAGATGTATAGACAGATCTGGGAACAATACCCGATGTGTATCTGCAAATAGAAAGACCACCATAATTTAAGTTCTCCAAGTATATAACCCACAGCTCCACATAATAAAAAGACATACTTGAGAAACTGGGACTTTGCACAGCTGGGATCTCCAACTATACAAACATTTACGTCTCCTCTCAGATTGATGCCTTCATGAGTAAACTTGTGGACGCCGCCCAAAAGCATAAGCAGAATTGCTCGCTTGATATCTTGGTGACCAAAAACAGTTGGTGCAATGCTGTCAACAAGCTTATTGAAGAAATCGGGGGTATCTCTCATTCTTTGAATTTCCTTAAGCTCCTCCGACTACAAGTAAAATAAGCAGAATAAAAAACTACTGAAGACTTGCCCTTTTGTGGAATAAAACCCACTATCAGTAATCAAGAAAACATCTAGAGCACTGCAAGGTCATGCAAATATGCAAATCGCAAAGTGTGATTTCATATATGCAAATCAATTTAAATATGCAAAGTCAAAGACTACATTTCAGATAGATCAATGACTTAGATGGCATCCTCAGAAAGCAGAAAAAAGAAACAAAAACCTTGAAGGACATTCTAAGATGTAGAAATGGCCCAAGATGAACAAACTTATAATTGCATGTAGAATGGAACATGACAGGACGATAGAGGATGGTAACAAAAGTAAGGCGCATCAAGAACTAACTGTGAACTGTTGGTCATCTTCATCACCAGCCTTCTTTCTATTTCTGATGTCAACATCCTTTCTGCCATCAGAAACCTAAAGAAAGAAATCTATCAGAAATTGGTCAAAGCATACCGCTAAAGCCTTTAAAGGGGATTGCCAATGATAAGCCAATGAATGACAGACCTGAACTGAATTGGCAATAAAGGCTAGACGATAGGATAGGTCTCTAACTCCCAATGCACGAAGACCCCTCACACCTTCGTGTCCAGCAGTAGAATTCTTGCGCTGAGAAGCTTCTCTACGGCATTCTGTTCTTTCCCCAGGGGAGGCCAGTGCCAATATGTCAGGTATCACAACAACAGTACCGGTGAAGATGACACTAAAACCACATATAAATCTAAGTTAGAGAAAACGTGGGGAAAGATGCAAAACGCAAAATCAAGGGAGCAGAGTCAATGTGGATGCATGAAAGCAAATTATCTTACGTGTCGCCTGCTCTAGCCAGTTCGACAATCTCATGGCGGAGAATAACATCCAATGATCTAGGTAAGGAGCCAGCAGGTATCTCTTTGGAAGTCTCCTGCAGTCTTACCCTCTGCCAATCTGCAAACTTGCTCTCTTGTCGAAGCAATGCCCATTTTGTTCTATTTAGACATGTTGCACTGACACAGGTTGTTGGCTGTAGCAGGAATAAGAAATTATAGACAAACAATGAAAAACAAAAGTTAACTTATAACAATTTAAGAGAATGAGAAAGAGGGGAAGCTAGATAATTGAGGAAAACGGCAGACCTCAGTGTACTTGAACTGCTGTTCAACATTCTTGATAACACTTCCGCATTCCAAGCACTTGAAAGTTCCTTGGAGAAGCTCAGGTCTGACTTCGCTTGTCCGTGTGACTACTCCTGTGACTGATACTAGCTTTCCAATTTCTGCTGTGGTTAATTCTCTCAAGCTGCAATTGGGGTTTGAGGAGATGTAAGCAGTATATTATTTGATTGTTGGGGAATTAAAAGGGAGCGCGTGCATCATTAGTTAATAACTGAGAAATTTAGTTGTTGGAAGTAAATTTATTTATGAGGATTCGAGTTCTGAGAGAGACTGAAAATAAGTGCTATTCTATTCCATGCTATTCGATTATTTGTATCTTATACACACACACACACACACATATATCTAGTTCTAAACTAATTATAGTAGAGAGGTTATGAAAATTCATAAAAAAAAAAAGGGTATACCGCTTGGTGAAGGGAATGTTATAAAAGGCAACATTGATGTCCTTATTGGGGTTATCATCCGCCTCCGCAATAACCGTGGGATTCTGCTCCATCACGAACCTCTTGCACGCATTCTTCAAGTACGGCTCGAATCTATAGTAGAAGCAGTATTAACACCCGGGTCAAGATTGAATTTTGAAAAAAAAAAGTAATGAAATCTCAGTCTCAATTGAATATTGGGCAGCTGACCTCAAGTACTCATCAGCGATGGCCTTCTGGAGAATGTCGTTGTAAAGCATGACATGCGAGAAGTCGATGAACATGGTGCTTGACCCGTTGGCTTCCATCGCCTGTATCTCCGTTTCGTAATACGATTCCCCTACTCGTGGATCCACCCTGAAGCTGTTACATTTATTTATTTTTATTTCAATTAAAAGATTGTCCAATGCGAATGAAATGGGATTCAGATCGCACGAGATAAGTAACTGTAACTGCAAAACAAAAACAAACCTCTTGAGGAAGTCGAGGAATATGTTCTCCACTCTAATTGCCTTCTCATCAACAAAGCATCCTCCGTACGCCTCCATTCTTTTCCAGAACACCCAAAACCTTCCTTCTCTGTAGCCTGCTACAACCGAACTAGAGCTCTAATTAACTCCCTCCCTCCCCTCGTATGGCGGGAATTTCCCATGGGGCCCACCACTTTTTCCCGCCAAAACCCCTCCGGGCCCTTCACCCTTCTTCGTCGTCTGTTTCTGGGCTTTTCAATTGGTCAAACCCTTTTTTGGGCTTTCTAACATATGGATTGTTTTTTCATCCAAGATTGCTTGCTCCTGCGGCCTGCCTCCTGGATATCCAAACAATTTCAAAACATGTTGGATGGTTTGTTTTTGTTTTCGGTTTTTTTAAACTAAAAATAAAGTTTTGAAAATTGTTAAAAACAGAAAAATGGTGTTTTCAGTTTTTTTAAAATAATTTTGCACTATTACCACGCCGATACTATTCGTTGAAATTACAATTAAATGCTACAGTGACGCTACATGTATTTTATTAATAAAATAAAATTTTTATTATACAAATATTATATTAATAAAAAATATATATTAAAAATATTATTATATTTATTATATAAATAATATCATATTATTAATAATAAATTGAGTCTAAAAACTTTAATTGCTTTCTCTTACATGTTTTTGTTTTCATATTTCTAAAACAAAAACATTATATCCAAATATGTTTTCAAATTCAATAAATTAAAAATAAAACGAAAATAAAACAAAACAAAATTTTCAAAAACATAATATATAAAACAAACAACAATACCAAATGACCCCTAATGTAATTCAAAATATATATTTTTTTCTATCAAAACTCATTAAATACTATGATTGAATTCATTACTTTCTCTCTTATTCAATATTATAAATATTAAGTTTTAATAAAATGATTCAATTGCGTAAACATTTTTCTTTAACCTTTGCATTGTTTATAAGCATCACTTGATAGATCATAGTTTTACTTTATGTTTTTTTTTTTTCCTTTTTCAATGTCAATTTATTAGTTTTCTTCCGTATGCTTTCACTTTTACAGATTCAACACCAAGTATTTTAAATATCTACCTTTAATATGCAGTTATCATTTGCTATTAAAGTTTCCTTTGCTATTTATTTAATCACTCTTACTAATCTCCTATAAATGGACATAATATTTATTATGTCTTTACAGCTTTTTTTTTTTTTTTTCTCTTGCTATGCATCTTATGAAATGGAATATTTTTGTTTGGTTTGCTAATTGTGGTTCAAAATGTACATATTCACCTTTTCTCGAGTTGTACTATTAAGTCGATGGCTTAATTTTCTAACGACAAATATGAGAAAATTATAGATTTTGGAGCCCTCAAGGTATGAATGGTATTATGTCTATGAGTTTGTGGATTTCTTTTGTCAATAAAAAAATTCATGTAACAACATTTGAAATTTTCTCTCCTATAAGATCTTCAATTATGCTAACTGAGCCAGTACACAGAAATTTTATGATTAGAATCTTTGTGGACATGCAAAGCAAAAAAAATTATCAATACTATATTAGAAATTGTGTAATAATTTATGTGAGTGTTATTGTTTAACTATTTTTTTTACCTTTTTTTATCTTTTATGTGATATTGTTTGTTGATCTCGGGATTTTCCTTTTGGTGTTTTATAATTTTATTGACGTTATTTTATTTTATTGCTATAAAATATAATAATGGTATGATAATAGTGTCATTATATTATATATAATCTTATTTGGTAAATCACAAAAGAATAATTATTAAATTATTAATATAATATTTATGTTTGATAGAAAAAAATCCTAAATCTTATAGCTGTTGTTTTCTTTTTTACAAATCAAATAAAAGTAAAACAAATAGAGTGCAAACCCTACTTTTCTCATAATATCTTATTTGATAAAGGGATTAAACTTCAATTTTTTGTTATAATATAATAATTAATATCGCAGAGAAAAAAAATGTTATTGATACCTTTCAAATTATTTAACAAAATTTTTTTTTTAAACATAGGGCTTAAGGTATCTCCTACCGCTGTACAAATTTTGATATTTGCCTTTAATAAGCAACCAATCTTATGGCAAAATTTCAATATATAAATTCTTTATAATTTCATAGTAGAGTGTTGTTTTATCAAATGGCTTGCTTTTACATTTTACATTATTAATTTTCTTCTATATTATGATAGAGAATTTTATTGATTTTAAGTGAGATTTTTATTGTAGTTGCCGATTTTGTTATGTGATTATTTGCTAAACCATAGAAAACAATCCTTAAAGATATAATATTGCAACATCCAAAAATTAAATTAAAACCTAACAAGCACATATATAATAAATTATGATAATAAATTTTCTTTTCTTTTTTAAAGAAAATAAAATTTACCATTCATATAATAGTTTTGATCTTCGTATACTTTATTAATAGATGTATATTAATAGATCATCGTGAATAACATGTAATCATTTACTAGAATTACATTTTTTTCCTAGAAAAGTCAAAAGAAAACCTTATATTAACATTTTCTATAAATCAAATTTACTAAAATATTATTAAAATATATTATTAAAATTGCACCAAAATATATCTACATTACTCTTATAATTCTAAGATATCCATTTATTATTTTCTTAAATAAAATTAACTCATGTTTAATTAGAATAAACATAAATACTGCAAAATTGATGAAGAACTTTGAGTTAATGTAAATTTTCGCTTTCTTTTTCATTAACAATAATAGTGTTTAAATATTATATTCGTATTAGAAAATCACTGAATTAAATTGAACAAATAAATCAATCAACATTTATATTAGCATATAATCGGACAAATTCAATATAGAGTTTGACAAAACTCACATATGGTGAGACTTGGACCTTGAATCTCAAGGTTCCAAGGCCTTTTTTCCTCACTACTAATTAAGTAAAGGTTTTATTGACAAAAGTACTTTTTCTTACATAAGTAATTTTAATGTATATATATATATATATATATATATATATATACAAATTTTATATTATTTTATTAAGAATACTTATTTGTATATATAATATTATATATATATATATATATATATATATATATAATAACCATCATACGGGCCACGGACTAGGAAATATATAAAAGTAAAAGCTTTTGGTAAAAAGGAAAAATGTCCAATATAGATAGCTTATAATATTGACATGTGGATAATCTCTATCAATCATCACGTGTCTTGTACTAATTATATTATTCATATTTATTTTTCTTTAAATTGATATGAATTGATTTGATTTCATAAAAAAAATTTAAATATTTCAATACATTAATTATATTTATTTTTTAATTTTCAATTAATTTACCTTTTATTTCCAATAAAATATCATAAATTATAGATTAAAGTTAAATCAATGATACATTAGAATCAAAGATTTCTTAATGATTCAAAAAAAAAATAATTAAACAACTTTTTAATGATTCAAATAACTTCTATTGAAATCTAATTATAAATATTATAAAAAAATTTATGACCACTATAATTACGATTAAGAGTTGACTCCTTAATTAATTATTTGATACATTCATATTTGATTAAAATAGTATCTAACTGAATAATGGATGTTATTCACATATAAATATATATAAATAGTATGATGATTTTATATATTTATATACATTAATGATATATTATAATGTTAGATTTTTGTGTTTGTTATAAAGTCAATCATACATTCTAATGTTAGATTTTATTTATATAAGTTGTGATTAATAAGCCATGCATCCCATAACATTATTGCTCAAATTAATTCAATTAATAATATGAATTACAAATAAATCAATGATACAATATAATCAAATATAGAAGTCAATAAATATATCTAATTAATTCTCCATCATTAATATTTCAACCTCAACCAACTTATCAAAATAAATATTTTCTTTATTCAACAAATTAAATCACGGCTAAAATAAATTTTAACTTAATTTTATAAATAATTCAAAAAAAAAATAATAAACACTACAATTATGGTTATAAAAGATTTTATTTAATGATTTAATAATTTTTTAAAAATATAATTAATAAATTAATAAATACTAAAATTATAATCATAAAAAAGTTTATTTTCTAATCAATTATTTGATATATTTATATTTAATTAAATATGGTATCTATTTAAGTAATTGATATATTTCATTTATAAATATAGAAAGCAAAACCATTATTTGACCATCATTCACTAACAATTTTTATTATTTCGATATTAACTTTTTTAATTTAAAGTTGTCTTATTTATTAACCTACAACACACTTTTTGTATAAGTATCTCTAGGTTTTTAATTTTGACAAGCGATGTATATTTAACCGTCTTTTACTAATTTTATATATTTTGATCACCACTCAACTCCACTTCAATTTTCGCTTTAATTTTCACTTTGTATCATTTCTTAGTCTGTGTTGCTCAAATGTTATTTTTTCTTTATACTTATATTTTATATCTATTTAACCATGATATTAGGTTTATTTTTTAATACTTTTTTGTTATTTCTTAAGTATCAGTTTGCCTTTATTGCAAAATTATATATGATTTTTTGTGATTTATTTCATATAAATATATTATTACTTTTTACTATATTTGTTTGGTTTATTTAATAAATTATTTGTAGTTTACTAGTAACTAAATAAGGTTTATATACACAATATGGGCACAAGAATAAATAAACAAAGGAGAAGGGTAATTTTAATAAAAAAGCAACATTCGCGACAAATTATGCCATGTAATTGAAAATAGATTTTCAAGGTCATATTCTACTATAGATGTTGAAAGTTGTTCTTAATATCAATCAAGAACTACTCAAGTAACACAAAACTCCAAAAACATTTTAAGGAACAGTTCTATCCTTTTTACAGAGAACATTTACCCAAATTATGATATGTAAGAGTGTAAATAATACATTAATGCTTGTAAGCTACTCGGGTTCAATTTGAATAAAACTCAAATTTGACTCAATAATTGTTAAGTTGAGCTTTAGTAGCTCAACTTATCAAATGAGTCGAGTTTGAGCATTTTAATATCTGACTCGAGTAGCTCGCGAGCCTAATTAAGCTTTTATATTTTAATATATTTTAATTAATAATTTACTATTTTTCCCTTAACATACTTAACCTAGAAAACCCTAATTAGTTTATGTGCCTAAACCCTTTATCTTTTAGTTTATAACTTTTTAAAGTGCATCATTTTCTTGATTTTTCTTTGTTTGTTGTTTACTATGTATGAAAAGGGAATGGCTGGCAAACTCTACTTAATGCCTTTGCT